TATGGCCGCCCAATGAACTATTTGGGCGCAAGGGACTACATAAGAAATAATGATAGAAACGTTCATGTTGATCTCACTTGAGGAGATACATGAAGAATAAAATCCACCAAAAATTGGGAAGTGAATCCAGCTACTAATATATCTTCTTTGCGCCCACCTATTTACTGCCTAGCAAATTCATGTGTACCAATTTCTTGACCCGACAAAATATGAGCACCGGACAGCGAATAGCAAATACCAGATCATAAACTTTGTGTGAATTGGTATATCCTTATATCCTTATGTCCATGAACGCCTCGACGCCATACGCTATGCTTATACATACAACAGGTGTCAAAAGACCTGTTGCTCCCCTTCCCACAATCTAGAATGGTTTTGCAACTTTTCTACTCTCACTGGCTCCCGTTTCCGGATCCTTATATTCCTTCCAACTGACCGGATACATTGCATTGCCAGCCTCACTCGTCGCCATGATAACTCCCAGCTCATTTTTCGCCGTACTGAGGTAATAATTCGACTGATCACCTAATGAGATCTGCCATCGTCAAACCATTAGCACATAGATGACATCTAAAGCCAAAGAAAAAACTCACCACCACAGCCCTCACAATATCCCCTGGTCTAAAACTCTCAAAAATCTTGACCTTATCCTTCTCTGTAGCCCTCACATCTTGCACTCTAATCAAGCCCTGCCATTCGCCCTCCAAAACCGTTTCGCCTACAACCAGTATCGCAACTGTTGCCTGTCGTGGAGTAATTCTTGTGACGCGACATAAAACTGTACTATTTACTTCAGGTAAAATCTCCGCCTTGTCTCCAGTGAGTGTAGCTCTTTCAATAGAGATAGTAGAGAGAGGTGCGGGTGCCGCAGGTGTAATCTTCGTGGCTCGTTTTTGGGGATAGCTAGGTTTGGGCGGTGCTACTGTTTTGATGGGTCCAAGGATCGAGGCGTAGAGATTCGAGGAATGGATATGTGTACCTGGACCTGGAAGATATTCGCTGCTAGAGCCGAGAAGTTGGCCTGGCACGGCTACGAGCGAGATTTGTGACATTGCGGTGTGTTCGTTGTCTCGGAGGGAACGGGAACGATAAGCTCACAAGAAATGGCAGTGGTGGATGAAGCTTGAATTGAGCTTATGAAATTGAGGATCTTCAGTGGTTCGGAAAAAGATTTTGGTACCCCCACGGTTTTGCCGGATCGGGCCCCCACGAGAAGATACGTGCCTGTCGCTGATCCTTGCTTTCCACCCCGCATTTCCTTGAATGCCCCGCTTCCAATTGTTGATCTTTTGGACCAACGAGCCAACTTGTGTAAACATTGCAGTGGTGTGATGAAAGATATGCATATTTAATCCGTCTTGGCTAGCTTCATTCGCCCCTCCTATTCTTTGCTTTTCTTCGAATTTCTTATATTTCTACTTCCCGTTTCCTGCTGTATATACCTAGTATTCACTCGATAGCTTTCCTATATCTACTTTACAGCTGTCCCATCGTAATACATAGCTATTCTTTACCCCTTCTTCTATCCCTCTCATCAAAACAAGATCTGGCAAACACCCTTCAATTGTCATCCTCTGTCACAATATAAACAATGGCAGCAAAACATTTCATCAATGATCCCACTCTCCTAGTGAACTCCGCTCTCCATGCTCTTACCCTCACCAACCCCTCCGTCGCTCTCGACGAAGAAAACAAAATCATCTATAGACGACCAGGCCACGAATCTCAAGTGTCTATAATATCTGGTGGAGGTAGTGGACATGAGCCCAGTTTCGGAGCTTTTGTGGGTGAAGGGTTGCTCGCAGCATCTGTCGCAGGTACTATATTTGCCTCACCGAGCGCTGAGCAAATCCGCAGATGTGTAATGTCAAGAGTCGATACCGAGAAAGGAATCTTGGTTACGGTCATGAATTACACAGGAGATGTGTTGAATTTCGGTATGGCGGTTGAGAAAGCGAAGGCTGCGGGGTTGAAAGTCGAGATGCTGGTAGTTGGAGATGATGTGGGAGTTGGTCGTGAGAAGGCTGGAAAGGTTGGCAGAAGAGGTATTGCAGGCACAGTACTGGTACATAAGATCACAGGAGCGTTAGCAGCAACGGGTGCTAGTTTAGAGAACGTTTATAAGGTTGGAAAATTAACGGCAGACAATATCGTCAGTGTGGGAGCTTCCCTAGACCATGTTCATGTTCCCGGTCGAGCACCTCCCAATCCAAATTCCGAGGAGAGCCTGGCTTATGAAGAACTCGAGATTGGAATGGGAATTCACAATGAGCCCGGTAGCGGTAGGGCCAAGGTTGATCTGCCCGAGCTTGTCAAAAGAATGCTTACGCAATTGTTGGATTCGAAGGATAAGGATCGAGCATTCTTGAACGTGAACTCGAATGAAGTCGTTCTTCTAGTCAACAATCTTGGGGGTGTTAGCGTACTAGAGCTGGGAGGTATTACGGCAGAAGTTGTAGGTCAGCTCGAAAAGTCCTACAATATCAAGCCAGTCAGAATCCTTGCCGGAACTTATATGACAAGTTTGAACGGTCTTGGGTTTAGTATATCGCTTCTCAATGTTGTCAACACAAATATCGGTGGACCCAGTATGTTACAATTATTGGACGCATCGACTGAGGCGACTGGATGGGCAGCTCCCATCAGAAAAGAAACATGGGAGGCTAAATCTACAGAAACTAGAACTGGCTCTGCTGGTACTGAAGAGGAGGTTAAACCCAGTGGATTGAAACTAGACCCAGAAGCGACAAAGACAGCTTTGACCGCCGGACTCGAGAGAATCATTGCAGCAGAACCCGATGTTACTCGATTTGACACAGTAGTTGGGGATGGAGATTGTGGTATCGGTCTAAAGAGGGGAGCTGAATGTAAGTGTGCCAATCTCGCGAATCTATTACGAGCTAACAAATTGTACAGCTGTGTTATCGACAATCTCGAAGGAGAAGCTATCCGGTGATGCTGTTGTCGATCTTGCAAGAATAGTTCAAGTGGTCGAAAATACCATGGATGGCACCTCTGGAGCTCTATATGCTATCTTCCTAAATTCTCTTTTGGCTGCTCTCCGCGAAAATGCTTCTACTGGAGAAGCAACTCCAGAAGTCTGGGCAAAGGCATTACATTCCGCGTCTGAAGCTCTTTCAAGATATACACCAGCGAAACCTGGAGATCGCACTCTGGTAGACGCCTTACATCCATTTGTTGAGACACTAAATAAAACGGGAGATATCAAGAAAGCAGCTGAAGCATCCAGGAAAGGCGCCGAGGGCACAAAGGGAATGAAAGCTAGTTTAGGAAGAACTGTGTATATCGGAGGTACTGGTTTCGAACAGGTTCCAGATCCAGGTGCATGGGGTTTGAGTGAGTTCTTCTTGGGACTCGCTGGGCTTGGAGATTCGGATTATGAATTGGTTTGAAATGATGAAATCTTTACTGTTTGTTAGTAACGTAGTGCTTAATGAATATGAATAATAACGCTCGAACTTCGGGATCTGTCTGTTTAGAATGCCAAAGGAGAGGTTTCTGCCTTGCTAGTGATGTAGCGATTAATGAACATGTATCATGGAACTTATAATCTCGAGAGTAGTCTGTAGGTATTTGAAATGTTAGTTTAATTCAGGCGCCATATGGTTTTGTGACGGGTAGTACGATTTCAAAAGCATTCAGGAAAAAATTAGAGTTGTTGTTTTTTGGTCTTCAAGGTATGTAGATACCATTAAGGGTTAAAAAGCTGTGATTTGTTCATCACAATGCTGAGATAGGAAAGCAAGTAGAATAGAGAATCAAGTAGACTAACCTTTGGAAAAACAAACTGACTCGTGATATTCTCATCACAAAATCAAGTCACCAGCAATACAACCCATCTGAAATTTAAAGAGAGTTTCTTTCTCGACTAACATTCCTATTCTCCATAAAATTTGGTTCCCTATTTGGCATGAACTTTCTCATGCGTCCTTTGAATTCATAGCTATAAGCTGATTTGGTATGCGTTGATATTGACAACGCCCTATGCTATTACATTTGTTTCCTCCACAGATCCTGTCCGGTGTTGCTAATATTCAGATATTGATCCTTAGCTGGTCCCCTCTTCTATCCATCCATATATCGTAAGTTGCGAATGTCGACCGTTCAGCTTAGGAGGACTAGAATGACGGAATCTCCTCTCAAGAACCTGGAAAATCGATATATGTTAGCGATATTCTCCCGATACTCTCCATCGCCTGATATTCAGAGTTTTTCGTAGCTCTGTGTTGTGTTTTCCCGTCTGATCCTGATCTCACCGTCCGCCTGAGGTCAAGGTGACAAAAGTGTAGAATACTCACATCTTACTGATGAATCTATCCTTGTTTACTGGTCTTCCCTTTCCACCACCACTCAATCGTGGAGTTTCAGTCCACATCTCCTTAACATTCTCCAACACCATATTGCAATGACGATCGAAAGCCTTAACGCGCGCAAGTAATTTTCGGTTGTTACGGCAGGAAATCAGCACCTGTCCATGCGAACGGACAGCAGCTTGGAGAAGAGAGAGGGGACCGGATGTGAATTCATGCTCTTCGATTTGCGCAACCTCGAACTCGCTGATGAAGGTTAGTATGATAAGTTTGGGGGATGATTAGGAGGGAGGTGCTAGACATACGTGAGCTCATTGCGAGGCTTGGCGAGAAGTTCTCTGTAAAAGGCAATTAGTATTTGCAAGGCATGTTTTAGAGATGGATGGGATTCCTACTGTATCTTTGCTGCATCTGCCATGATTGAAATGTTAATGTAGTAGATTAATTAACCAACAGCTCAATCAATTATCTACGTCGTCAAAGTTTCCAGGCACCAAAAATTCCCATCACGGTCGCGAGCTCCAAGAATAGCTTAGCGCACAACCTTAAATCTGCCCGGCTGGATTTTGCGCGGGGACAAAAATAACCGATGAGACTTTACTTCCGAGGTTCTGAGAACTTTGTCTTTCTCCGCAATCCTTTAAAGTCCAGTGTATCCCTTCTTTCTTGATGTTCGGAACATATTTGGGCGGTAGAGCTGGAGCGGCAGTTCGCTCTTGTGGCTCGAGGTTTCCAACTATGCCTTTGAGAGCTAAGGTTATCAATCCTGCATTCGCGGGGAGAGCACAGGTTTGGGGAATTTTTTGATTGTTTATAAGTGAATACTAATGTTCAATATAGATGGCGACAGCCCCAGATACCCCTTCATACGCCCAGGCAGAAGTCATCAAGGAGCTGGAAAGTGACGAGAAGGAAGATGTTCTATTCAATTCTTTATATGGCGTGAGGACGATCGAGCTCAACAGACCCCAAAAGTTACATTCCCTCAATGGATCGATGATTCGAAAAATCGTGCCAAGATTACAAGAATGGTCAAAATCAGACATGGCGAATGTGATCATTATTAAAGGATCTGGACCCAAGGCTTTCTGCGCTGGTGGGGATGTGGCAGCGCTCGCCGAGGATAACACAAAAGGCGAAGAAGGACAAGCTCGATCAACAGATTACTTTGCTCTCGAATATAAACTCGATCATCTTATTGCAACTTATCAGAAACCCTATGTTGCTTTTATGGACGGTATTACAATGGGTGGTGGAGTTGGATTAAGTATACACGCACCATTTCGGATAGCCACTGAGAGGACGCTATTTGCTATGCCCGAAACTACAATTGGATTCTTCCCCGATGTTGGAGCTTCGTTCTTTCTACCCAGGATGGCGGGGTCTGTTGGAACATACCTTGCCTTGACTAGTGACCGATTGAAGGGCGTTAATGCATTTTATTCTGGAATCGCTACACATTACATTCATTCGACTTCTTTACCGGCTTTAGAGAAACGTTTGGCGGAATTACGATTTAAGGATTTCGAAACTTTGGCGCAGCGAGCACAATTGATCAATAGCACAATTGAGGAATACTGCACGGGACTGCCTCATGACGAACCAATGCTTATCAGTGGCGAATTGCGAAAGGCTATCGATCGCCACTTCAGTAAATCAAGCGTTCCTGAAATCATTGCCGGTATTAAGGCCGAGATTGACGTTTTGAAGGCTGAAGCGGAGGAGACCGGGTTGGAAAGCCCACTCCAAGCATGGCTTGAAAAGACTCTTGCTACCTTGCACCAGAGATCACCTACGAGCGTTCATGTAGCACTACGTCAAATGCGCATTGGCAAAGATTGGTCGATTACCGAGACGTTCCAAAGAGAATACCAAATTGCCGCTAAATTTATGCGTCATCAGGATTTCACGGAAGGCATACATTCATTACTTATTCGCAAAGATAAGAACCCTCAATGGAAACCCAAAACTTTGGAAGATATCAGCCCAGAGGACGAAATCGCGAACCCATTCTTTGAAGTTGAAGGATCACAAAGGATAAAATTACTAAGCGATCGGGATTATTATGAGTATCCATTCCAATTTGGAGTTCCAAGAGAAAGTGAAGTTGAGAAGGTTGTGAGACAAGGCGGAAAGTCGGCGTTCCAAGTCGTCAATCACTTCCTTCAAGCAACGGAAGGAAAACAGGGTGTGAAGGAAGTGGTGACGGAGATCATCGAAAGAAAGACCACAAAGAGTGGGCAAGGATTTCTTGAATGGGAACGAGATCAAATCTCAAGTCCTAAATCGTCAGAGTGAGAGCTTTTGTTAAGCCATGTACATGTTTGTAATGTATGATAAGGGTATTTGTGCAATGGTGGGAAGGGTACAAGGCATTGCCGAACACAAGATTATTTTATGATGGCGATAACTTTTTAGCGGTCGCATAAAAAAAAAGAAATGCGAACAAGATGTCAAAATGTCAAAATGTCAAAATCATATTAGATGAATATCATCATGTGATTGTAGCCTATCGGATCAAGGAGGGGCTGAGTCATTGTTTCTCGATTAGACGGGAGATCAAAAGATTCCTCCATAGCCGAAAGTATATAAAGATACGGAAATCCCCCACTGATTTGAAATTCGGAATTTTGACTCGAATAACTTGTGTTCTATTCTGGCTGATGTGTGCTGCCTTTCCATCATCTTTTCGCTGCATCATCAGAGCGAGCCGAGTGTTCCACTGACGCAATTCCAATTTTCATATTTGTAGCCTTGCTGCTTACCTGGCTCGCTTCGGACTCATTGGCCAATAGCCTCGCACTAAGAAGCAGCATTATAGCTAGGGTGCCCCTGCTTGGCTCGTTCTTCAATTATTCGCGACATCTAGACTGAATTTGTACTCAATACAGTTGAACATACATTCAAGATACCCATATATTAAATATTCACAATTACCTACTTACTTCTTCTCTCCTTAAGCAGACTGCACAATTTTGAGACATCGACAACAAACACCGACTTTATTGAAAATCCCTTTGTTTTACATGCAACGAAGATCAATCTACAAGTTACCGGTTTTCTTAGCGCCAACTTCATAAAGTTCTCAACGCGTAAATAGCGGTAGCGGTACACACGTTTGGACGCGAAATTTACCTAGCCACCGAAATCCCTCACGTTTCATCACGACCTTTAATGGATGACTTTATATTCTTTTCAACAGTCTTGACCAACTTCCACATCGATTCAATACCTCAGGAGCCTAGGTATTGAAGCAGAGGAAAGCTCACAATGTCGTCTCCGGCAGGGGTACCAATGGGAAATCCTCAATTACAAAATCAACCACATCAAGCTCCTCCCCCGCCGCCAACAAATAACAATGACCACAGTGAAAATGGAGTGATGGTTAGACCGATGAGACGTAGGTACATTGCTATAAAGCTTTAATCTGATCACAATGCTTACAGTGGGGGATTCAATAGTCAAGGTACTCTACACTTTCGATGATGGATGCAAAACAAATTGCTTGGCACGATGGCCACAGGTACTTCAAATTCAATCTATTGCCATGGACGAAACGAATTCAATCGGAGTAATCGAACTTTATACATGTTTACAAGCAATTATTGAATGCAGCCCCGAACTGCTACCCCGACCAGGACGAGATTTCACAGTTTATGCTTACGATTATTCTGAAGACGATAGTCCTTTGGTAGGACAAGGAATGCTTTCTAGAGCTTTACAATCGCCTCCTATGCCAAATAATCAACATCAATCACAAAAGCTTGTTACTGGACGAGTATGCAAAAATATTATGGGCTTGTTTGCAAATGGAGTGAAGGAAACTTTGGAGGTCAAACTTCGTTTGGTCCCTCAAATGGTATCTCCAATGGAATATACAAATACCATGGGAAACTCCAGTCAACATATGTCAACACCGATGTATGATCAGAACGAATGGAACTCTCTAATACAACAGCCGCAGCAAAACCCACCGCCTCAAATGCCGAATAGAACGTCAACCCCGGCCACTATGTCAAACAATAAAGGTACCACCATGGAAGCGGTTAATCAGCTTCTCAGTCCGAGTCTTCCACCAAGAAATCCTTACAACCAAGCTTTACCCCCAGCGCCTGCACCCGTGCGTGAGGAACCAGTAACGATCGCTCCCAGAGAACAGAAGATAGCTAGGCCCGCATCCAGGACAACTGTCAAGAGGGGAAGACGTGGCCGTCCTCCAAAGAATTCCCGTCCTGAGGTAGGAGGCAACACTTCTGGGTACGAAGAAGGTACAGAGGGGGAAGATGGACCGGCTCCGAAGAAGAGGGCAAAGATTACTCAAGCAGACTGGAGTAACAAATCAGCATTTGGTTCAGGATCTGACTCGCTTCGAGTTACAGCAAGCACTGCAGGCTCTATACGTGCTTTCAGACCGCTAGCGCCATCTGGTGGCATAGCCGTAGGCAACCATTTACAGGAAATTCCTCGAGCACCCACACCAGTTCCAATATTGCCACATCCACCAGTCAATCAGCAAGTTAACCAGCACAGACCACAGTCACAAAGTGGGCTCAGACAGGGGTCAATTTCTCAATTGGAGATGCCTCAAGCACACTCTCCAGCCTATTCACAACTAGAACCTTCACTCCCTCCGGAAGATCGTCTGAGGCTCTCCATTGAATCAGCCCACCCCTCCCCGGACAACATTGCCAGCCCAGGAATAACGCCTCAGGACATCGCGTCCTCCCCACCGGTTCTTCGAAATGCAACACCGTCAATACGATCTAGCCCTCCTTGTCTCTCGAGCCCCTCGCTACCACCTATGCCTAGGCTCGATTCCGGCTTCATGAGTGGTAATTTGGATGATCTCGATGACCTTTTCGGAGAAGAGGATGAAGTGCCACGCCCAATCGATGAAGAGGATGTTGTTGTTGTAAAGAAGAGCACCAAGCGACGAGGTCCCCGCAAAACACAGCCAGGAAATTCAAATGCCGATGGTGGATTTCACATCCAAGAAGAAACGCCAGGTCCTATGGAATTACTACCAAAGAGAATGCTTCTCAGTGAACAGGCCAAGCCGAAACCTAAGGCAACAGTAACACAAGCAAAATCTAGACGAAACAGTATTATGTCCGAGGATGGGCAATCACTACCACCCTTACAGACGAATACTCGTCCCAATTCTAGACCACCTTCCCAGTCTCAAACTGCTCCTAGTGCGAACCCACCACCACCGACCTTACATCTACCAACTCCGCCAACTAGTGAATTCACGCAACTACCAATGCCACAAATGCATGCCCCCGCAGTACCGCCACCACCACAACCTCGTCCGGCATCTGGAAACTTTTCTCGGACAGCTTCTACCGGATCGATGGTCCCCCAGACTGTTCCTGCAAGTGACTCTGTCCCTCCGCCGACTTTCCAGCGATCTCAGACTTGGTCCGAAAATCCACATTATATGACCGAAGCTCCAAGTGCACCTACCCAGACAGAAGCCAAGAAAGCTTCTATTAGACAGAAGTTGGAGAATGCCCTTAGAAATGGACAGATGCCTCAGTATTGTGAAAATTGTGGCGCTATAGAGACTCCAACTTGGCGTAGGGCATGGTCACAAGAATGTCAAGGTGCTCCAGGCTACCATGAATACTCCGAAGAGCCTGGGAGAGTTACAGCCATCAACATTCTTACAAGAGATGATGCGGGTCTCCCTACTTCATATCTCCTTATCAAAAAAGCCCTTGCTGCTGGTGAAGACCAAAAACAATTCAAGGCGTTCAGTCTTTGCAATCGTAAGTTATGCATAGCCTTTGAAAGATTGCGTCGCTAATAATTATAGCTTGTGGTATATGGATGTCAAAGTATAAGTCTCAACGTCCAGAAGCCAAATGGGGTAAAGATCCGGACGCAAAGAAAAAGCGACCTTCTAAAGCTAAGGCAGCAGCGATGATGCCCACATCAGAGGCAAACTTCCCACAATCAGAGACCAATTTCCCCCCATCCGAGGCTTTTCATCAGCATCCCGTGGCTCCTCTTGGTACCGACCGCTTGTCTCCAATTGACCTTGACGGATTAGATTCTACCAATCAAATACTTACTGACCACGACCGCCCAAATGGAGCGCGCCGTGCAAATAGTCTTCGTCCTTCTAAGAAGCTGAACGCCATGACTTCAGATTCCGCTTCGGCAGCATTGAGAAGAGCTTTACAATCCAGCCCAGCTAGGTGGACACAAAATAATCAAATCGAAATAGGGGAAGAGCCAGAAACAGACACAACCCGAAGGCTCTTGTTTCCTTCTCCACGCAAAGATTCATCACCTAAAGTCCTAGGCGAAGTTACAACAAATGTCGTTCAGGTTGTTGTTGATATCCACGGCGCTAAAGATGCAGTCCTTGGAACCATGGACAAGGAGAACTGTTCGGTCCCATTTGATCTAGAAGAGGACGCTGAACTTATGAGATTGATTGAGGAGCAATTTGCACGACCGACCACACCAGATCAAAAAACACCTGGCTCTAATCCATTCAAAACACCCACTCGACCAACCCCGAATCATAGGCCCATTACCAGGAGTGTAACCAGGTCTGGTCGCTCGGGAAAATCTCCAAGTCATCTTTTACCACCACCGAAAACCCCAAGTAAGACACCTGGATCAAGTCGTCGAACTCCTCGTGGCAACGGCATCTTCGAGTCACCATTTACCGCCCAGTTAAACCAGCTAATGTCTGATAACCCTATCAACTCTCCCTCTCAACATCTCGATTTTAATAATTTACCTGATCTTCCTAATTTCGACAATGGATCTTACAATCTTCAACAATATGATGAAGATTTCTTCTCGACAGATGTTCCAATGCCATCCTCACCACCAAGGATGTTCACTGAATTTAATAATACTTCGGCTGGAGGACCTCTTGATTGGGGTAATTTTAATTTTGATACTGCTCCAACAGAAAACGAAAAAGCGACGGAAAAGGAAAGGGGAGGAGACGCGGAAATTAAACAGGAACCAGTGGAGGAAACAATGACGAATGAGACGACTTAGTCGATCTCTTTCACTTACGAACAAGAATAAGAACGCGGATTTGTATTTTCTCATGATTGATGGGTTGCATTAGTAGGTGTTTGGATTGTTAGGGATGGAAATACATATGAAGGAAATGCATTTTACAGCAGCATGGCGTTGTTTGTCATATCGTATATGCTAAATGCATATGATAAAATCTGGGAATTTTGGAATAAGCATTGGTTGGATTACTCTATGACTGTATAGTTTAGCTTTGTTTTTGATATCAGCGAGGTTTTACGAGTTTTCTT